CTGCTGAAGTTAGGGTTTTGGTGGTCTTGCCTTTCCATCTCCCTTAGGTGATTTGTTAGGCTGTTAACTTGCACTCTTTCCATTTTTTGATGTGTGTTTGTAGAGATATAAATTTCCCTCTTAGAACTGATTTCATGATATCACAGAGATTTTGCTAAGATGTTTCTTTGTTCCTTTTTTTTTTTTTTTTTTTTTTTTTTTTGAGTTGGAGTCTCACTCTGTCTCCCAGACTGGAGTGCAGCGGCACTCCCAGCCACCACAGCCTCGACTGCTGGGCTCTGGCGATCCTTCCGCCTCGGCCTTCCAAGTAGCTGGAACTACAGACATGTGCTACCACGCCCGGCTTTTTTTTGATTTATTGTAGAGATGAGGTCTCGCCAAGTTGGCCAGGAGGGTCTCTAACCCACGGGCTCAGGCAATTCACTCACCTCGGCCTCCCAAAGCGCAGGATTACAGGCTGAGCCACCGAGCCTGGCCCTTTGTTCTTAGTTGCTTCCAGGAATCTTTAATTTTTGCTTTGACCCAGGAGTTTTCAGCATCACACTGTTTAGTGTCCATGTCTTTGTGGGTTTAGGAGGAATTTAGTTTGTGTTGATATTTATTTTTATTCTACTGTGGCCTGAGAAGTGCATGGCAGTATTTCAATCTTATGAAATTATTTATGCTTGATTTATGGCCGGTGATGTGATTGATCTTGGAGTATGTTCCATGTGGTGATGAGTATAATGTATATTCTGTGGTTGTTGGATGGAGTGTTCTATAGGTATCTTTTTCTTGTAGGTTAGAAAAATTTTGTTTAGAGGGTAAATTAGAGAAGAATGGTGGATCCACCTCCTCAAAATTGAATAGTGGGCCAAATGCTGAAGAAGCCTTTGGTGATGAATGCTTGAAGCTGGGTGCTTATAAGGCTTCCTTTAGAAGGCTGGGAACAGGAGCATTCCTGTGAAATGTAACAGGGGGTGGGGGAGTTGTTTTCATGGCAATTAGTTGTTAAGGAGGGCAGCAGCTGGATAATGCCAGGCAGGAAAGTAGCCCAAGGTCTGGGTCTCGGGGGATGCACAGGGTGAGGGGGCCTCAGAGGGTCGCCTCTTGTTGGTCTTTCTGCAGGGACTCTGAGAGGGCCCCAGAGGTAGCTCCTACCTGCAGCGGGTGCTCTCCTGGTATGTCCTAAGCTGGATCAGGAGGGGAGGAAGCAAGACCTTCCCCACCTCACAGGACAGTCTTGGAAGCCCTTTTTTCAACATTTTAAAACAAAGTTTATTAGAGAAAGAAAAGAAAAATGAAAGGGAGACATGCCAGAGCTGGCATGGGCAAGAGAAACCACAGATAAGTTGCATTTTCAATCAATATAGTTACATTTCCAAAGGATTATTTATAAATGTGTTCTTTAATTTCCAAGTGTCTGGAGAATTTTCTGTTATCTTTTTACTATTGATTTCTTGTTTCATTCCATTATGGTTATTTTATTTATAATAATTATTTTAATTATTTTAAATTTGTTCAGGTTTGTTTTGTCAACTGGGATATAGTCTATGTTGTGAATGTTCCACGTGCGCTTAAAAATAATGTGTATTTTATTGTTTTGGGGTAGGATGTTCTATAGAGTGTTCTATAAGTATCAATTCAATCCTGTTGGCTTGATAGTATTGTCAGTCCTTTCATATTTTTGAATTTCTATCTAGTGACTCTACTGCTTGTTGAGAGAGTGGGGCATTGAAATTTCCAACTATAAATATGGACTTATTTCTCTTTTCTGTTCTTTCAGTTTTTGTTTCAGGAAATTTGAAGGTTTTTTGCTTGGTATGTACATATTTAGGATTGCTATGTCTTATTGGTGGATTGACCCTTTTATCCTTATGTAATGTCCCCTTGTCTCTGGTAATTTTCTTTGCTCTGGAGTCTAAATATTGTGTCTAATATTAATATAACCACTTTTCCTTTCTTTTAAGATTTGCATTGTATATATATCCTTTTCAGACTTTTACTTTCAACCTATATCATGATATTTGAAATGAATTTCTTATAGACAGCATATTCTAAGGTTATGTTTTAAAATCTATTCTGCCAATCTCTTTTAGCTGGTATAGTTAAACCATTTATATTTAATGTAATTATTGATATCTTAGGACTTAAGTGTGCCATTTTTTAAACTTGTTTGTTCCCTCTGTTTTTGTTCCTCTGTTTCTCCTATCCTGCCATCCCCTTTGAGTTACTTGAACGTTTTTTAGAATTTCATTTTATCTGCAGTTTTTAGTGTATCTCTTTGAATGCTTATTTTAGTGGTTTCTTTGGATTATACATATGTAATTCACCACAGCTGACTGGTGTCAACATTTTACTACTTGCAGTAAAGTGTAGAAAACTAGTATCTATTTTAGATTCCCTTATCTTTGCCCCCCTTTAATAATTCTCTTAAATATTTTCTCTAAATATATTGAGAACCACATCATACAATGTTATGTTTTGCCTCAACCATCAAAAATAATTTTTAAAACTAAAGAGAAAAGTCTATTAAATTTACTCTTTTTATCCTTTCTGTTGTTCTTTCTTCATTTGTGATATTTTCAAGTCTTCTTCCTTTATCATTTTCCTTTCTTTCAAATAACTCTTTCATAGCAGTTATTTTATAGCAGTTCTATTGGCAACAAAATCTCTTAGTTTTCTTTCATATGAGAATGTCTTTATTTCACCTTTATTCCTGAAGGTTACTAGCACAGGATGTAGAAGTCTGGAGCAACAGTTATTTTCTTTCAGCACTTGAAAAGTGTTGTGTAAGCCGGACTCGGTGGCTCAGCCTGTAATCCTGCACCTTGGGAGGCTGAGGTGAGTGGATTGCCTGAGCCTGCGGGTTCAAGACCCGCCTGGACAACTTGGCAAGACCTCATCTCTACAATAAATCAAAAAATTAGCCAGGCGTGGTAGCGCACACCTGTAGTTCCAGCTACTTGGAAGAATGAGGCAGAAGGATTGCCAGAGCCCAGCAGGTCGAGGCTGTGGTGGCCGGGAGTGGCACTCCAGTCTGGGCGACAGAGTGAGACTCCAGCTCAAAAAAAAAGTGTTATGTCACTTCCTTCAGACCTCCTTGCTTTCAGATATGAAATCCACTGACACTGTTGTTCCCACTTTCTTTCAAGATTTGTCTTTACTTTTCTGAAGTTTGATTATGCTGTGTCATGGTGTAGGTTTCTTTGAATGTTTCTTGTTTGGGGTTTGCTCAGCTTCTTGAATCTGTAGATTTATGTCTTTTACCAAATTTGGGAAATTTTCATCCATATTTCTTCAAGTACTTTTAATTATTTTTTTTTTTTTGAGACAGGGTTTCACTCTGTCACCCAAGCTACAGTGCAGTGGCACCATCATAACTCACTGCAGCCTCAAACTCCCGGGCTCAAGCAATCCTCCTTCCTCAGCCTTGTGAATAGCTAGGGTTAGAGGCATGTGCCACTACATCTGGCTGATTTTTAAACAAAAATTTTTTTAGTAGAGTTGAGGTCTCGCCAAGTTGCCCAGGCTGTTCTTGAACTCCTGGCCTCAAGCAATCCTCCTGCCTCGGCCTCCCAAAATGCTGGAATTACAGGTGTGAGCCACTACATCTAGCCTTCTTCAAGTACTTTTTTAGATCCACTCTTTTTTGGAACTCTGTTAACATTCATGGTAGATCATTTATTATGGACCATAGCCCTGAGGCTCTTTTCATCTTCTTTTCATTCTAGTTTTTGTTATTCAGATTGGTAGTTTCTATTATTCTACTTTCAGATTCAATAATTCTTTATTTGTCATCTCTATTTGGCTATTTAACCCATCCAGTGAGCTTTTGAAATTTTCCATTTGGCTTTCCTTCCTTTCCTCCTTCCCTCAACAGGGTCTCGCTCTGTTGCCTAGGCTGGATGGAGTACAGTGGTGCAATCATAGCTTATCTTGAACTCCTTGACTCAAGCTATCCTCCTGCCTCAGCCTCCTGAGTAGCTAGGATCACAGGCATGCAGCACCACACCCAACTGATTTTTACAAAATTTTTGTAGAGATGGGGGTCTTGCTTTGTTGTCCAGGCTGGTCTCAAACTCCTGGCTTCAAGTGGTTCTCCTGCCTCAGCCTCCAAAAGTACTGGGATTATAGGTGTGAGCCACCACACCTGGCCCATTTGGTTCTTCTTTAAAATTATATTTCTTTGCTGAGAACTTTTTTTTCATTTATTTGTGGGGGACATGTTTTTATTGTTTTGTATAGCAATGTGGGGTACAAGTCAGGATTACTACACAAGCAGGCTGCATGCAGGTGAAGCTTGGGCCTCCAACTGGTCCTCGCTTTCCCTGGTTTAGGACCAGGTACGCTTTGTGTTGTTACATCCCCCTTCTTCCCTGACAGTGTCCAGAGACTGCTGATTCTGCCCTCATGCTAATGTGATTAATGTTCAGGTCCCACTTATGAGTGAGAATATGCAGCATTCAGTTCTTTGTTTCTGTGATAGATCACTAAGTATGATGGTCTCCAACTCCATCCAGTTTCTACAAAGGTAGAAAGTTGGACTTGTTGCCTACATTCAGTCTCAATGATTCAGAACAGTCAAGTACTGCTGGCATGACTTTACACATCTGAACTGGTACACAAGTGAAGAATGGATAGTTACAATGGTTGGTTCTTACATGTACAGACAGCTTCAGTCTCAGCTCTTTCCCCTCCCCTCAGCAGGTCCCAGAAAGCTGTGTTCTCCTAAGTAGGTGCTCCACAACAGCAGCAGAAAGCACTACCATACTGACAGAGGTGCCCCCACAGTTTTCTGGTCTTTACCCTCACCCAAGACCTCTTCAGTCATTTTCTCGGTCTGCCTTCACAAACCAGATACTGATTCTGTATGGGTTTCCAGCATTGGCTAATACAGCTTGGGTAAGGAAGATTATGTTTCTTATTGAAGAGGCCTCACATCATCAGGGTCCAACAGACTTTCTGTCTAGGATTTCTGTATTCTCAAGTTCAATAATCCTTTGTTCCTTCCCTTCCAGGTCAGTCACCATGAACCAGGGCACTCAGCATGCTGCCCCAGCACTGGAGAAGCAGCTCTGTGGAGGCAATCTGTCACACTGTCAGAAACTGGGACTTGATACCAACTGCTGTGCAATTCTGCTGAGCAGGAATATCATGAGCTGTTAAATAATGATGGATGCATTGGTTGAGATGAAGTTTCCAGTTAAGGAAGTGGCAGTGCAATGTGGATATTTATGGTCATAAAACAGGAAGAACTTTAGTTTCCAGGCTGTACCTGCCTCTGCTGGAGCCATTTCAACACGGTGTCCTCACAACAAAGAAGAGATGCAGTTTGGTTACCATTTCACATCAGCAGGTGTCTGAACAAAAACAATGTGAATAAGAGCCAAGTGCAGTCCTGCCTATCTTGATTAAATTACTTAATAGTAAATAAAAGGTCTGGGTGATATTGTTTTTAACCTGATTCATCCAGCTCTCCTTCAAATAGCTTCCCTCCCCTCTACCTAGAACTGATTTAAAATTTTATTAATTTTTTTTTTTTACAGAACCAAATTTTAAAAAGTAATTTTTCTTCCTGGGGTGGGAGAACCCTAATGAATTGAAACAATATTTTACTTTCAAATTGTTCTGGTGTTTTTGTAGTTATATTATTAAATGACTCTGGAGTCATGATAATGAAAGAATTTCTTTTGTTTTGCTAGGAGGCAGATTTTATGATGTAGTTCAATTGCATGGTTCACGTGAAAGCTAGTTACATACAAAGGAATACAAAGATGATGAAGGAAACTGTATATTAGGTCCAATAATTTTAGCAATTATCCAGTAAGAACCTAAGCATTAAACTGCAATGTGAAATTCACTTACCTCAATCTTACTACTTGATGTTGTCACACGTGGCAATGCCTCTTTCAGGGTTCTGCACTCAATGTTAAAGACAGTTGCAGGCCAGGAGTCATAAGCAGAGGCCAGGTTTAAAATATTTC